GGTTCAAAGCCAGCCTGGGCAGGAAAGTCCATGAGACTCTTATCTCCAATAAACCACCAGAAAACTGGAAGTGGCACTGTGGCTCAAGTGGTAGGGCACTAACCTTAAGCTGAAGAGCTGAGGGACAGTGCCCAGGCCCAGAGTTCAAGCCCCATGACCCACACACAAAAAAAGAAAAAAGCAAAAATAAAACATATCCTTCCTCTCATAAGTCTTCAATTTTCTCAATTTATTCTAGTTTAAGATTACATGACATCAAGCATTGTTGTCTCCTCCTTTGTTTCCCTTTGCCATCCCTTCCCAACCCGCCCCTCCCTTCCCCATGCCTAAGTTGTAAAGTTCATTTTTCGACATAATGTCTTGTACATCTCATTGTTGCAGTGGGTCCACTTGTATCCCCATTTAAACAATTTGTTTTTTCCCTTCCCCTCCACAAATTATACCAACATAAAATACAGTGAAAACAATGCTTGATAAGAAATGTACTCATTACCTTGCCATGTAATTGTAACCCCTCTGTATGGTATTTTCACAATAAAAAATATTTTAAAAAGGTTACATGACATGATGCACGTGAAAGGAAGTATTTATTATAGACATAGATATGTCTATACAAGTATAGATTTGTGAATTATAAAACTGCTGAAATACAAATCAAAGGTGTGTATCTTACAAAAATGGACTGTCACCCAGAAAATTAGCGAAACTGATGTAAATATTCTATTCTTTAGTCTTATAAAATTAGAATATCAGTCCGACATTTCTGTAAAGCATTTTGTAAGGGCACAATGCACCATAACACAGAAATCTGCACAGGGCTCACCTTTTCTCCAGGTCCTTGATGGTGTTGGGAAGTGGAAGATTATAGGTCTCTGGGAGAAAGTAGAGGCTTATTGAGGCTACCATGGGAGTGACCGCATAGAGAATCGTGGGAAGATGGACAAAATATTTTCTAGTTACAAGAGCTAAAGCAGCACAAGTTGCTGCTAATTTGAAAGTAAACATATAAAAGCCTTGTAGAGTTGACCTTCAAAAAGAGAAAACATTTCTTTAAAAATCAGAATCAAATTCTATCTCCTGTTCACAACATTTTTTTTAATGTTTAAAGAATTAACTTTTGAGGAACCGACTCTACATAGAGATCGCCTATGACCCAGCAATCCCACTTTTGGGAATTTACCCGAAGATCACAAACAAGACCATACTAAAGCTACCAGCACAACTATGTTTACTGCAGCATTATTCACCATAGTTAAGATATGGAACCAACCCAGATGCCCTCAGTAGATGAATGGATCAAGAAAATGTGGTATATATACACAATGGAATTCTATGCCTCCATCAGAAAGAATGACATTGTCCCATTTGTTAGAAAATTGAAAGACTTGGAAGAAAATTGTATTAAGTGAAGTAAGCCAGGCTCAAAGAAACATAGGTCCCATGGTTTCCCTTATTTGCAATAACTAGTGTATGTCTGAGACAAGCAGAAACGGTCAGATATGTTCATGTTAGGTGAAATGAAGATAAGGACTCAAATGTTTTTTCTTTCTCGCTATTGTTTCTAACATATTTATAAGACTGTTCCTTTGTTTCTTTGTATGTCCCTCCCCCAGGGCATAACCACTGTTTTCACTGTATTTGATGTTGGTATAATTTGTGGAGGGGAAGGGAAAAAACAAATTGTTTAAATAGGGATACAGGTGGACCCATCTCAACAATGAGATGTACAAGATGTTATGTCAAAAAATGAACTTTACAACTTTGGCGTGGTGGAGGGAGAGGGGAGATGGGGAGGGTAAACAAAGGAGGAGGTAACAATGCTTGATAAGAAATGTACTCATTACCTTGCTCATGTAATTGTAACCCCTCTGTATGGCATTTTCACAATTAAAAAAATAAAAAGTTATCTTGTACCAAGGAGTTTCAGCTCAACATGTCAATGAATGTGTGCAGTGCATCTTGATCTGGGACATCTCTTCCACCATTCTCAATCCTGCTTATCTGTCCCAACCTAACTCAACCTCTCAAGTTTCCTAGTTCCATTTTTACTTGCCTACATCGATTATGCTGACTGTGTTTGCACATGTTTGCTCTTTGCTCTTAACCTCCACTCCTGAGACAAGACATATTTCAGCTTCCTCATGTTCACTTTTGTCAATTCATGGAATCGACAAATCCACCTCTCCATGGACCATACTTTATACAGTTTCACCAACATTTCATGTAAGATCAAGGTACATTTTTCTTGACAAAACTGCAATTAATGCTGTACTATAAACTTGTATTAGAAGAGCACATTTTTTCCCATTTAGACAGAACTGTCTTATTCTCTCAACTACACTTTACAGAGTTTGAAATTACAGATCTTTGTTGTTCAAATACTATATGACCTCATATGATTTTCATCTTTCTCATCTGTGATGTTATATAAACACATTAATTCAAAGGTGCATGGTACAATATTAAAATAACTCAATAAGGTGCAAGATAACAAGCTAAACTTGAGTTTCAGATAGACAAGAATATTGTTGTGTCATCATGTACTATTGATTTACTTATTTATTAATTTGCAATTGAAAATTTTGGCATGTATCTGAAAAATAAAATCTAGTTGCCCTGTATTTTCTTTCTTTCCACTTCCTTTTCTCAAGTAAATCTCAAATGTCTATTAAACTTTAATGAATGGTCATTGCAAATTTATTTATGAATATTAACAGACTCATTGTGGGGAGTTTAATATTTGATGAAAATTCTTTCTACAAATTGAGAATTTTGAAAGATGACTATTACTGGAAATAATTTAGAAATTTCCTGATGTCAGTACCCTTAGTGCATTTGCATATCCCTCAACATTTTCTGTCACATTAATATTTTCTGACATCTCACTTAGATCCATTTGAATTTTGTAAAAGCTTCCAGCACTATACAACAAATATCCCAAGAAAGACAAGTTACAGTTTCTTTTCTTACCTGAGTACTGTTGGTGACAGCTCAGAAATAAAAGCTGTACATAATGAAATGAAGGTTGAATAGGAAGCTTTCTCAAAGAGAAAAATAATAAGGCGCAGAATGTGCATCTCTGTGAACAAGATTTGGGAAAGAATAATTGGGAATGTTTCAGTATTTTTATTCATTCATGTGTTATAAAATACTTCTTAAATATTTATCACTAGGCCCTGTTTCAGCATTTATTTCTTCATTTATTATCCAATACTCTTTAATACTTCCCACTTCTCAATTATCTGAAACTAGTCTTTGCTAAGTAAGGTTTAAGTTAGAGAAGGAGCAACATGTTAGGTAGTTACAATGCAAGAATTATTCAGAACACTATTAAACTGGAATTGAAACTGCAAAGGGATTGGTAATGGACAAAAATAAGTGAGAAAAAGCAAAAAAATGGAATTGATATTTAGCAGGAATCAAGGCAATCCAGTAAAACTTTAAAATATGAAAAGTCTATTCTACTAGAACCCAGGTGACAGAGTAACTATAGCTGCCACATGGCGGGGTGAGGTTGGTGATGGTGGTGGTGGTGTGTCTGTTTCTCCCTATAGACTGTCCCAACAACTCCCTGCAGAGGAACGCTTGGTTTCCATCAACACTCTGCTCTCTAATACTGGCTTATATTGGAAAAATCAGTTGGAAGATAATAAAATATTTGAGAAAGTGGGATGGAAGAGATCAAACATCTTTTTTAAAAAGTTGTTATTGTTGAGTTGATATACAGAGGGGCTGCAGTTACATGAATCTGGTAATGAGTAATGAGTACAATTCTTTTGGAATCATGCCTCCCCTTCCATTGGTCCCTCCCAATCTTTCCTTCCCCACCCACAAGATATCCAGTTCATTGTCCACATAGTGTCTAGTGAGTATCACTATTTGTTCATTCTTGTTTCACCTTCTGTGTTTCCTCCCTTACCTTCTCAAATATGAACAAACAAGACAAAAGGAAAAGAAAACAAAAATAGCAAAATGGCAACTAAATAATTTTTTGTTTCCTTTTCTTGGAGTTCATTTCATAGAATATTATTTTATATGGTCATCTGTCCATAGATACTGAGCCTTTGTCCTCCACTCCTATACATAGCCTCCTTTGGCCTCTGTATCTTAATGGCTAGGGTCCAGTATAATATGGAGTCAACCTAGATGTCCCTCAGTGGGTGAATGAATCAAGAAAATGGGATATATATATATATATATATATATACATGCATACATATACATATATATGTATGTACTTATATAATGGAATTCTACTCATCCATCAGAAATAATATTGTACCATTTGTAAGGAAAAGGAAAGACTTGGAAAAATTAGGTTAAGCAAAGTAAGCCACCAAAGAAATATAGGCTGCATGTGCCTATAAGTCTACAAGTAAACACACTGAATTAAATAACACTGAGATCAAACTACTTGTTGCTGGAAAGCAGACTAAAGGAAGAACATGAAATGTACATAGAGGCAAAAAGAATGAGATGTACCTGTAAAAAACTTAGGTTGAGTTAACCAGGGTAATCTAGAAAATGGTATTGAGAGGACATACAGTATGATTCATGAATCTTAATCTATGTCCAACTGCTTTATGCATTGAAAGCAATTAGTTCAAAAACAACTAACAAAAATCCATAAAACTCAAATAACAGTTTTAGTCCAACTAAATTAATTAGAACAAGCCTATCATTTACTCATATCCCATGTGTCACATGCTTCCACAAATATTCAGATCTGGCCATCACAGCAACTGGTCGGTGTCTCTGTTTCATATATTGAATTCCTCTAAAATTATCAGGAGTTTTGATGAAATATTAATATTAGAAGAAACCATAAATATGTGAATACATATACAATATGGCAAAATGAAATATACTGATAGAAGTGACAAGAGTTAAAGGTTAGATCTTATGGAATTGTTGTCAACCTGTATTCAGCTTTACAAAGACTATTATGACTGTAAGGGTTTAAATGCAAGCTTCCTGGTAACTTCAATAAAGAAAAACAACATCGATACACAGGATACAGAGAAAAGAAACAAACTATATCCTTAAGAAAGGCAAAACATAAAAACAAATAGAAAAGACAGGAATTAAGGAATCATAAAAGAGAAAATAAATAACTAAACATCAAGTCATTCCCTTTTAATAATTAAGTGAATAGATTCATTTCACCACTCAGGGAACATTAAGTTCTTGAATAGGTTTTTTTAAATTCAACCTTGTGTTGCCTGTAAGAAACCTAATCAGAAGGGAACTTTTTTGCTAAAGCAATCCAATCAGCAAATGCCCACACACAAATTGGATGACTAGCTCCTCCAGTTCTGCTGTTGTGCTCCACGATGGGATAAGGGGACAAATCCAACCAGACAGAAATTTAATACATAATTCCCAGGGGACAGGGTACCTATTTGGAAAGGTCGTTGGTAGCAAGGGACCACAGCTTAATGAATCAAACTAAAGATACAATAAACCACTAGAAAACTGGAAGTGGCGCTGTAGCTCAAG